TTTCTCCTATCTTTTGAAATACATAAAATTAAGTAAAACAAAAGGGCACTTTCTTTTACAAACTATACTTGGAATAGTGTGAAGTCTCTCTCTTTGTCAGCTGGCCCAATTCCAGGGACTGGCTCCCTCCGGGAGCACTGAAAATCCTAGTATATCCCTAAGATAGAGATGTTGACTTTGAAAGTCCAATTTACCTGGCAGATGTGTGAAATGGCACACAGAAAACTCCCCACTGCGGATGATGAAGAAGCTAGGGGACAACAGTCAAGGAGGAAGGGCCATCATATAACCTTACTTGTTTTCTCATTTATATGGTCCATTTTCTATCACAGAAATTTATTTTTGTGATACGTAAGATTGTACTCACATTTATATATGCCTGTTTTTAAAGTGAGTGCCAAAATTACACAGACTTGAAAATCTGCCATCTGGGAAAAACTGACATAAGTATACCTCTGGTCTGTGCAAAAAAGCAGCTCTTTGTAAATGATAAACAGCAAGTGTTACACAGTTGAACTATGCATATATCAACCACAAACCAATAAAATTTTGAAAAGAAAAAGATAGTAATGAGAAAATCATAGCAGTGAATGTTGTTTAAGTAAATAATTAGCTCCCTTTATTTTGAATATAAATACTCTGTCTTCTAACCTCTGACTTTGCCCAGCCACATTAATCAAAGGCCACGATGTTTCAAAATATTAAGATTTTAGCATTATTCCAGATGAGAGGTGAATAAGAAAATAACTGTTTGCATATATCAAGAAAAACTTTAGATTTATTTTAGGGATCCTCCACCTGACTTTTCAGTTTTGAAAAATCTGCTATTTTAAATAAATGATAAGCCACTTCTCCACTGGTTCATGGATCTTCGTTGTCATGGAGCCTAGAGAAGTTAAGGCCATTTGCAGTGTCCGGGAAGAGGGAGTTAGACTGTGAACCAGAAGCGCCAGCATCCTCTAAACAACGAGGCACTCTGCCCCCTGGTGGACCGTGCCAGGATGGGCTTTGATGAAAGGTGCAGAAGCTTCCCTTCCCACACCCTTCCCCACCAGCCTCTTCCTGTCGGAAAACTTCAGCAGATGCCCTAGTTGAAGACTTTCACCTCCACTAATTACATATTAATTTGAATGAACAATTTCCTTTAACATAACGTAAAAACCTTGGGCTACCTAGTCAGCCCTCTACAGCTAAAAGAAGAACCATATTAAATCAACACAATATCGTTGGTTCTTGTGGCTTTGCATGGGTAAGAAAAGTCAGAGAAGTGGAAAATAAGAGACTGAGGGAAGATGTAGAGGTAGTGAGGGATCTGGGCCCTGGGAAGACAACTGGAAATCTCTAGACAAGCAAGAGGAAGGAGAAGAGAGTTTAAAGGTGAATAAGAGGATACTATAGGAAATGAAATATTTGGCAATCTCCTCTTGGCCATTAGAGCTACTGCAGACCATCCCTGGGGTTCCCTTTTGGCCTTTGGGCTATGTGTCACCAGCCTAAGAGGGTAAGTGTGAAAGGCTCCAAACCTCAGTTGCTTCTAGTTTAGCCAAGTTTCTCTCATTCAGGCTTATTTGGTTTTCCCCGGTCCAACCTCTCAAATATTTCTCAGTTTTTCTATGCTACAAGTGTTATGCATCTGCAAAAAAGGCAATGGGGGAAATAATGGCTAAAGATGAGGTGCCATCTGCCAAGAGCTGAAAGTGTGAGGTATCATTCTAAGTGCTTTCCATGAACAGGCTCTGGGCCTTTGCAACAAACTGCGAGTAGGCTGCATTTGAGAAGGAAAAGGACACAGTGATAACATGCTGTATTTGTGATTCAAACCCAGGGCTTTCTGATATCAAGAGCTATTTTTCTGTCGTCTTCTCTGGTGTTCACATGGGTCTGTCTCCTCCTCTTAGGTCTCCCCAAGCCTGCTTCAACCCAGCTCCTGCTTTTCCTTCTTCTGTATTTCAAACACCATACAGTACTTGGGAATCTCACTACCTAGCTTAGAGACTACACATTCCCTCTAAGAATGCTGGTCTGGAGATCTCTTGTGACAGTAGGTCTAAGTTACCTCTTTGCAAAATGCGAGAGCACAATCTAATTCCTTTTACACTCTTCCTACAGATATAAAGTAAATGCCCCAAGTTGTGGCAGTCCATAACAGTATCATTTATCATCAATTATTCTCTCTCAAAGGCTCAAACTCCTAAACACAACACAGAACCCAATGAACCAATTTTTCCATAATAATAGAATTACTATCCAGTGCTTTTTAGAACACAAAAAGGACTTTTATTTCATTATTTTCCTAAATTTCATTTCCAATTACACATTTGTTGAAAGGTGGTATACCAAAGGCAATTTTCAGTCACAGCAACTCCACCAAAACACATAATCTGAGATTTTACTGCTTGAATGAATTATAGTACTCTCAGGGTTTCCTGGGTAAAGAAGATAAAAGCTAAGATAGAGAGGAAAAGTGAAGAATATTGTTCCATAGGAAATCTCTTGAACTTAACCACTCAGTCATGGGTGCAGTGTTCATTTTTAAAAAGGAAACTCTAAAATTCCTAGAAACACAAGACAATATTGGTATTTTTGGAATGAGAATACATTCATATATTCGTGTGAAAATTTGTGCAATTAAACAATATGGAAAATGTTATTTGTTACCACAGCCAATGAAAATATATTTTCATTTCTATGTAAGTAAAACATTTCCATCTCCCATTTTATGTTCTGCAAAAAAGCCATATGTTTAGTTTATGAAACTATGCCACAGGCAGCAGTAACTGAAAAGGAGCTTAACAGTCTTAACTACATATCCCTGGGATGAATAATATACTTTGCATAATCATGTGCAATGCTGGATGATGATTCTAGATTTCTTATAACTACAAAGATTTGCAAGCTTCTACTTCACACAATATGCCCCACACCCAGTCAATTCAGCCAAATAGTCAAGCAAAAATTAGGTGGATAATCTACAAATGGCAAACAACCCATTTGACTAAATTGACCATGTTTTGTTGATATGAGCATACAATCATTGCAGGTGCCCTATAAAGAAATCATTTGTAAGTGGCTATTTGTTTCAATTAATTTTTACCCCTCAGGCTCCTAGAAGTTGGCTTAATTGTTTCTTAGGCCCAAAGAAAACACAGCTGCATAAACAAAAGACAAACATATTAATAACATAAAAACAGATACCGTGCTCTATGCACATTCTTATCAGTAGTAAGCTAGATTTCTCCATAGGAGAAATGCCACAAAAAATAAACTTAGGGATACAGTAGAAATATAAGATTACCTAATGCCTAAAATTTTATCTTACCCCAGTGACAGGTGCGAATGTTTATCAAAATTCCCTTTTTTACTTAGTTTACATGTGAACTTCTGAATAGTATATTTTCAAGAGTCATTACCCCAGAGGGAATGTCTGCACAGGAGGCAATCAGCGGACTCCAGCTCAAAGCACCTATTGTCAGACAGTCTGGACTGGTGAGCTTCAAGCAGGGACTGAAGCCACTTTAGAAAGACAACTTGCTTCTGCAGACAAAACGTAGCAACTGCAGAAAGCTCCCTGAAGAACAGAGGGTGAGCCTTCTAAGGCATGTTAAATGCTCCACATGCATATTTGTTTTTCTGTGCTGATGGTCCTTCAGGGTTAATCTTTTTTATTTAGATAATGCATTTTTTATCTTTCCATGTGTAATCTTGCCCTATGTTGGGGAGTCCTCAGAGTGAATTTGAGATAACACCTAAGTATTACTGAAATTTGAAAAGACAGATACATTTAAAGCATTACTGATATCCTATTCACTGGGGTGTTGGGTCAGTGACCAATTTCCAAGGTTCTAAAGCTTGTCAGTTACCTGACTGCAGAGTAAGTCTGAGGTTTGATTCTATCAGTTACAAGGAAAATAGATTCAATTTTATCTTCTCTAAGCTTTTCTAAAGTCCCTGCATGTCGTTTTCTAGTAATCTTTGTTCCTATCCATTTATTTTCTTTAATATAGTTTTTTAGGGTTCTTACTGAATTTTGAAGATTTTTGGAGAAAGGAGCTAGTTCTCTTGGTGACTTTATATGTTAGCACATAAAGGAATTACAGATGGGAAGGAGAGTGCAAATGACTATCAGAAAAAAGTCTCATGCATTTAAGATTTTTTACAAGTCAAAATATACATCCTCCTTTTGCCCCCATTCGTTAATTGTATAAGAACCATTCCTATTTCACCAGTCTCCTTTGCATCTCACTGAATTGGATAAGGAATAAAGATACTCTTCTTGCTCACGAGCAGTGTGCATCTAGCACTCATCAGTTCAGTCAATTGCATTAATAAGATATATAGCAGCAGTGTGGGCTGAGTCGCCCATCATATCCTCTATTTATGAGGATTTAAATGTGTAAAATGACAGGTCCAGGAAATTAAGAAAAATAAAGCAATCTGCAGACTTTGGCACTAGCACACATAATGTTTTGTTTGAGTTGTTAGAAATGTAGTTTGACAATCGCTAAATAGGAATTTATAAACTACAAATCTGCAGAAAACAAACAATTACATGTGTTGGTTCTCAATTTCACGCTCCCCATCTCCCATTCCCACCCACCCCATATAGTTTCAGTTATAATAAAAATAGAGATCTTAACATCAGAATTCTGCTGTTAACTCTTCAAGGTTTCTCTGTGCCATCCAAGCCACACATAGGGTTTGAAGCACCAAATCCACAAGTTTCTACAACCAGGTTTAAATAAACAAAAACTGAAGACTGAAGGATGCCAAAGTAACTGTTCTTAAATGAAGCTGTAACACAAAGTTCTCCCCAAAACTCAGGGTATTAAGCGTCTAGTTCAAGCACTGCCAGGCTGTATGTAGATCTGTCTCAGAAAGGCTTCAGACAACGACTACAAGTACCACTGGTTCTAGAGGGCATCATCCAGGATACCAAGGCCGAGCAGGGATCCCTTTGCCATCATGACTTTTAAAAAGTTGCAGCCCCCCTTGTGATTGGTCGAGGCAGGGTCAGTGCCGAACCTGGGGTTTGAGCGGAGGAAGGGAGCCTCCTCCTGGGCAAGGAGGCTCTATCTTCAGTGTGAACAGTTCTCCTTTCAGAGCACTCTCTCAGGGCCGACCTGGTTTCTCAGGATCCATTCCCTTGCCCAGAAGAGAGAGCCTCACTCCGACCCAGTAACAGTGAAAGAAGAGTCGACCTACCTGTGGAACCAGACACAACATGGTCCCCAAAGGCCGCTTAAGCGACCCCACTGCAACTGACAAGTCAACTTGCGCACTTAAAGCGTATCAGTTTATGGAACGCTTGTTTGAAGTCCTCATTGGACATGGTATAGATGATGGGGTTGATGAGGGAGTTCAGATAGCCCAGCCACGTGAAAAAGTCAAAGATGGCCAAGTGGAACCAACAGGCATCCTTGCAAATCGGCATCACCAAGGAGATGATGAAGAAGGGCAGCCAACACACAATAAACGCTCCCAGAATGATCCCCAGGGTTTTGGTGGCTTTGCGCTCCCTAGCGGCCATGAGTTTCTTCTTCTCCACTAGAGCGTCGGAGACTCGCACTTTGACTTGGTTCACGTACACAGGAGACCCCGACTCGCTGGGCACGTCGGGAGCCCGCGAGTTAATGGAGGTGACCGAGGACGTGGACCCGGGGGAGTCGGTCATCAGCTGGGCTCGGGTCAGACGCTTGCCGGTCCTATTGGGCGTCTGTTTCAAAATCCGGGAGCGGGCTTCCACATAGATGCGGCTGTAGAGGGCGATGAGGAGCAAGGTGGGGAAGTAGAAAGCGCCCACCGTGGAGTAGACCGTGTAGAGGATGTGGTCGGTGTTCACCAAACAGTCCAACACTTCTTCCTCGGCTTTGGCCTGGCGCCAAAAGAAGGGCGGCAGCGAGATGGAGATGGAGAAGACCCACACCAGCGCGATCATGACTGCCGCCCTCTTGGGAGTCCTTTTAGCTGAGTACTCCACGGCGTCCGTGATGGCCCAGTAGCGGTCCAGGGCGATGACACAGAGGTGCAGGATGGAAGCAGTGCAACAGGTGATATCAGACGACAGCCAGAAGTCGCAGACCACCTGGCCCAGCGTCCAGCGGCCGGTGACCACATACATGGTGCTGATGGGCATCACCAGGATGGATACGAGCAGGTCAGTGACAGCCAGGGAGGCGATCAGGTAGTTGGCCGGGGTATGCAGCTTCCGCGTCCGGTACACAGTGGCGATCACAAATGCGTTGGAGAGCGTGGTGGCCAAGGTGATGAGCGCCAGCAGCACGACGAGCAGCACTTTCCAGGGCAGGGCGACGGAGTCCTGGTAAACGTAGCCCTCGGTGCTGCAGTTGTGGGAGGGAGCGGCGGAGAGGTTGACTTGAGAAACCCCAGTCTGGGAGCCCGCGGGCGGCGGCGGGGCGCACTGAGCGCCCGTTTCCTCCATGTCTCTCCTCGCCCTGGCCCCGGAGCACAGCTCTCAGGCATGGAGCGGACGAGGAAGAGGGCGGAAGGACCGTGGAGGAGACCACAGTCTTATCCCTCGGTTGCTAGTCAGTTCCCTGGGTCCCTTAATTACCCCTGCACCCAGGTTCCCAGCTGAAAGTAGAGGTCAAGGGCGAGGCGGGCGAGGCAGGCGGACACGTCCGCTGCGCTTCCAGTGTGCCCGGCGCGGCCGCCGCGTCTCTGGCGGCTCCTCTCCACGCCCCGTCTTAGCCCTGGGTTGCTAAGGACTGGCCTACCGAGCCCCGCTCCTCTCCTGCTCCAAGCCGGGCGTCTAGTGGCCGAGCGCGGTGTTTTGAGGAGGGAGCATCAGCCAGGTGCGGTCTCTTACCCCAAGTGTTCGGGGTTGAGAGTCTCCTAACCCGGGCGCTCCTTAATCTGCAGACTTGGCCCACAGGAGTTTCTCAGCTGTCGAGACCAAAGCTTGCAGGCCCGCGAGGAGTCTTGGTCTTGCGTTCCCGCCCCCCTCCCCAGCCTGGGGCAGTTTCCTGCGGCAGCTGCAGCCGCCCGAGCTGGGTGGGGTGAAGTCTGCGAGCCGGGCTGCGCCGCTCTTTGCGCCAGAGCTCTGCCCTCCCTTCTTTTCAAGCGCTGGCCACTCCGGCGAGCTGCCCCGCGGAGACGGGGCCGCACGAGGGGGGACTCGGGGCCCGGGGCTGCGGCTGCTTGCACCGCGCCGCCGCCACCTCGGTCCCACGGGCACCACTCGGAGCCATGTCTCTGGGCGCACGGGTCTGGGGGACCCGGCGCGGCACGCCCGCCAGGGGCAGGTGTCTGGGAGAGCTGGAGGGAGGCTGCGTGCGCCAGCCCGGGAGGAGCGTGTGAGCCGCGGAGCAGGTGGGCTCCTTTTATAGAGTCCAGGTCCGGTCCGCCGGAGCCGTGCAACTCGTGCGGCGCAGCGAGTGCAGACACCCGCTTCCCATCACCTTCCTTTTTTCTCTCTCCCTGCCCCCTTTCCTCCCTCCCGGTTCCCTCCCTGGCCAAGGAAGCTCCCGCCCGGTCCTACCGCCCTCTGTCCCCACTTCCCATCCCCTGGCCCCTCTCGGGATCCCGACACCCAGCCGCCGCAGTTTGGCCCGGGAATGGGGATGAGGGCGTCCTGTCCTTGCTTCCGTCCTCTTCCGAGCTGCTGCGCGCCCCTCCAGTTACACCCACGCCCTGAGCCTCCGGCACAGGCACAGACCCCACTTTCCTTCCTAGGCTCCGACCTATCCTCCTCCCTCGGCCGCCCCCCCCCCCCCCCCCCCCCCCCCCCCCCCCGCCTCGGCTGGCCAGTGCTAGGTGGAGCCAGCCCCAGTCTCTGACCTCTCACTCTGGAATTCTATCCAGCCCTGCGGGCCACACCCAGGTTAGAAGGAGGCGCCAGTAATATCGCCTTAGAAGGAAATGGCCAATAGTGCATTTTATACTTCAGGCTTTAAGTCATAAACTCGGTACAATACAAACTAATTTTTCATACCTGCTTTAGAAATCCGTGCTTTTCATTCAATCCCTCCCCTTTAATCCCTGAATCAACAGGGAAAAAAAGAAAAAGTAAAAGCTGTCTGCAAAAATATAAAAGTATCACAAACAGAAGCCCACTGTATGTGAAATTAAACCCTGCGCTCCACCCTCCCGCCCAGCAGCTCAGCAGTTCAGTGAGCACGTTTCCTCCCACAGCCCGCCTGGAAAGGAGGCCATCAGGATTCAAGATGAAAACTAGACTATTGGTAGTGAACACGATCCAGTGTGTACAGAAGCTGAAATACAATAAAGTACACCTGAAATTTTAACCAATATGACATCAATAAAATAAATTAAAAAAAAAAAAAAAACGGGCTCTGGAGCCATCACCACCAGCACCATCAGTGCGTCCCCTTCACCCTCAACAAATATATCAGGAAATCAGCCATATGTGGCACCAAGCAATACCAGTACCTAGGACAGCGGAGCAGACGTCTGTACTCAGTTCCTCCTCCAACCTTAACAGAAACAAATGTAGGGTGGAAGTACAAGTCAGAGACAGCGCAAAGAAAAGCAGCAGGAAAGGACAATGCATTTTCAGCCCTAAGAGCTAAGTGTCCCAACTATGTTATCCCTGCCCTAGCTCAGTGTTTGGAAGGTAGAATGCATCCAATAAAAACTAAGCTTTACTTGAATTTATCAGGTTAACTGTAAGCATATTTTAAAGAGAATTATTTCTTCTAGAGGCAGATATAATCTGGCCCATCCATTCAGCTTTAGAAGAGTAATCGAGGTCCTTTGAAATTCAAGAAGAGCTTTTTACCCGAGGTGACACAACCCTAACCCGAGTTGCCTTAATTCCCGAATCTCTAAGCCAGGCTGGCAGGCAGAAATAGAGTGCCTACTCTGTGCGGGAATTCTCCTGGGCATCAGGGATAGAAGAGGCCAGTGGGGTAGACGCAGACCCATTTTTCAAGCAGTTTCCATTCTAGAAGAGGCAGGCAGTAACCACATGAATCAGTAAATACTTAGCATAGTTTCTTATAGCGTTAAGCGTTACGAAGGAAATAAAACACGTTCAGGCATTGAGAGTGAAGGTACTCCTTTAACTAGGTGGCAGCTCTCCAAAGACGTCCTCTGGATGCGGTCTGGGCTGCAGCAGGCACGCTGGGGATAAACTACACGCACAACCTTCCCTTTCCTCTCCTCCAGTCCCTGGCGCCCAGCACCGCTCCAGTAACCTGAAGCCTCTTTTGCACCACATTTTAAGGGGTCCTGCCCATCTTCCAATCCCACCGACCCACATCAGGCGCCTAGCTAGACGACTTTATTTTGTAAACTGCGGCGCTCTCTTGGAAACCACAGCAGAAGGAAACAAAGCAGGAGAGGCTAAACCACTAGGTGGGGGCGTTGGCCAGGATGGAGCAGCAACAGTGTGTGTGTGGTTGCGGGCGGGGGGGGGGGGGGGCAGAGGAAACTATTTTCCTGCGATCTTCGGGGAGCGGGGTAAGATTAGAGAGAATTGTTGAAAGGATGCGAGGCGGAGAAAGGCAGAGAGGAAGGTTACCAGCTGCAGGCAGCGTTTCTTTTTAAAATTTCTGCTCCAGGAGCATGCAAAGGAGAAAAACACTTGCTCCTCCTAGGGTTTGGCTTTAGCAATGAGGGGTACCTGTGGCTTTCTCCAGCCTCGTTTTCGTTGCTCCGCAGAGTCCCCGACCCTGAGTGGAATCTGCCACCTCTGGGCGGAGTTTGAGTGTTCCCCTCTTTGGTTAAGAATTGCGTGAACACACTCAGCCTTCATAAAGACAGAGTTTAGTGGAGAACCACTTTTCATTAACTTGACTCACGTATTTCACTCACTCCTTTCGGACTTTAAAACACATAAAATGTAGGTGTTTGCACATGGGCGCACGTGTGTGAAACACGCAAGACAGCCGGGAACCTTCACAGCCGCCTCCGCCGCGGCGCCCTGCGGTCCGCGCGCCCGCTCCGCAGTCCTCGGCAGCGCCGGGAGGAACTCCCCTTGAAGATTTCGGGAAAGTCAGCCCGCACAGACTCAGCATGAAGCGCAAGAAGAAAACAGGGATCGAGATGAGGTACCAGAACGCAGCAAGACTTAGTTGGGTAGAAATAAGCTCCTGTTTGACCATGAGGCACAAAAACTGTGAATTGATGTACTCCCCTCATCAGCTCCACGCCGGTGGACTTGCAGCAGGGGCTGAGGAGATAGAGGATGGCGCTGAAACCCCAGTGAAGCCTGTGATGTACGCGAAGCCTGACACGGTGGTGAGCTGCCCAGGTACCAGAGAAGAATCACCGCTCAGAGACCTCGCCTATGCTAGAAAGATGCTGCGGACGCGGTGAAACACGAGGCGCACGCTTGGAAGTTTGCGGCGGGCGAGGCGCGCTAACTAGACCCAACGCTGAGAACAGAAGCTGCCTCCTCCTCAGCGCGACCCCACAGACAACTCACAGAGCTTGCTGCAAGTCCACTGTGCTGGCTGGAAGCCAGGCAGCCCCTCTGGTCTGGGGCACTGGGATCTTGCTTGCAGCATCCCTGGAGTCTTACCTGCATTTCCCAGAAAGTGAGTCTTAAAAGAGTCTAGGCACAGGAGCAAAGGAAGTATTTGTGCGTTTATCTTTGCTGAAATAAAAAAGCTAGAACACTCATGCTCTAGTCGCTTTGCTCCTTTAATAAAGGAAAACGCAATCTCACACCCTCCATCCTGGCCACTTGCATAGTCCACAAGCAGTCCCTAACCACAAAATGTGGGCACCTGGCAAGCTACTTCTTCTTGCAAGTCCTGCTTCCTCAATCTGTGGTCACCGTTTTTGTTTTTTTTAAACTCTTACCCAGGAAATGATCAGCAGGAGACCTTGAGCTCTGTACAACATCCTCATGAGTGGTGGTAGCCAGTTTCTTGGTTCCTCTTAAATTTCCTCCAGTAACTAGTCCTTAAAAAGTTTATTGGTAGTAATAAAATTACAAGTCTTGTGTCTTGCTTGATGAAACTATGGAAATGTTCAGATAAATGGACATATACTTACATACAGACAGACCTATATATATATACAATTTTTGCAGACAACTTCTGGGGGTTACTAGACCCTCTGAGGCCCAGATTCCTTTTTAAATTCATTGACCACACATTGGGACTTTGACTTGGTATCTGTGTCATGCAACTTATGTGCTGTGTGCCTGATAAGTGGTTTTTAAGCCTTGCCAAAAAATAAAACTAGGTGCTTTATTCTCTAAGTGCTAGACTTGCATAATTAATCCCTGAGAATTAGTAATGCTCCTAGTGTTTATGTATGAATACAAATGGTGTGTAACCTGTATCTGTATTTAAAGAAGAATGCAGACAAAAATTAGAGCAAATATACATAACTTAAACACTTTCTAATGTTTGTCTCTGTAGTAACAGCCAATTTGCTACTTTGAACAAATACCCACAACAGATAGATTAGTGCTGGTTCAAAGCTAGCCCAGTTCTAAATAGTGGA